CAGATTCAGCAATTAGTCTTCTCGCGGTTAAGTGACACATACGGAAGAAAGCGCAGTGTGTGTTGGTTGGTTAGCGTTAAACGAGAAACCTACAATGCGTCATCGAGCACTGGCTTTATAGTAATGTTTTTAGTAGAAGAGTGGTGCAAAATGTCCCGGCGCATTGTAATGCTGCTGCCAGCAAATATGATTGCAAATTGGTTTGAGTGCAGTCAGCATATTCTTTTGAATGAAACCAAAATAATTATCGTGCTACTGAGCGTCAATGTAATTGCACGCGTAGAGTTCATAAAAAAACATATACACAAAATTGCAAACGTGGAAAACAAGGTGATTCATCTAGGTTAGATTAAAAAGAGAAAAAACACTGGGTCACCCTCATCAAACTGGCTCACGTGAATGCACGCACAATGATGTTTGACGCGAATTGAAATGGTAAACGCAGGTAACACTAGAGCCTAGTTATAGAGCGACCCTAAGACAGCGTTTTAAGCACCATCTTAGGGTAAACGCATTTAGGAATTTCCTACCAAACAATGTTAATAATCACACTGTGCAACGTCCTTTCTATAACAAGAATGAGAGGATGTTTCTACTATTACCAAGTGAGCTGATTACGAATTTGCAAAGCAAATGTTCCTATCACGTTAACACTATTTTAATTTCCATTTTACAACTCCCCTAAGCAGCACGTTCCATGCATCGAATGCTCGCCCGTGATTGGTCTATAAGCGCCCTGTAATCGTGGAAACTAATCCCTCTTTGCAATGGTACCCACTTTATACTGAAAGTTGATTGGGCACTGTGTTTCCTTAATTGATTTTTTCACTTATTCAATTTTCTATTCAAGAAAGTGCTGTATGCACCCATAAGGGTGAATACTGATATCTTGATCAGCTTGGGGGTCCTGGATCAAACAAGAGACGACCTCGTTGAAGTCATCATTTCCCAGTGCCAAGGAGCAGTCTGTATTTAGGAGCGACTGTGGCAGTGATGTTGTAAACGGATTAGCCACATAGATACATTCTGTAAACGTTGTGATTCAGTACATTTAGGTATAATTTGTACAACATAATCTTGACCTTACTGGAACTAATCATTAGCTTATAACAATGGAGCCTGACGTGCTAGGTAACATCGGATTACATTTCTATGATCAGTGGAGTGTATTCTATAAGGTTGGGACATTGGTATTTCTGTTCTAGAAAATAATATTTTTGTTGCAGTGTCGTTAAGAGATTTGGAGCTTATGCGCAGTATCCAAAAGTATGTTAGAACCAAAGTTTCGGTACACTCTTGATGTCAGGCAAGAACACAAGTATGTGTATCATGTAGTGGAAAATGGGGCCGGCGCAAAATTTAATGCAATACTCGTAGCGGCATAGCTGAATCACAGACCAAAGTGGAGGCAGAGTGGATTATGAAAAAATTCCTCGGTTAATCCACTTATTCAGTCTGTCGTAGTTTTCGTTAGACAGGATAATGTTATCTTCTGAACAAAAAATGGTGGGGGAAAGGACTGTACTATTGGGAGACTTCAATACCCCAAGTCTCGACTGGGATTTGCTGCACTGTGCTACTTCTGCAGACGTTTTCGCTGCAGACTATTTGGAAACCGTTCTCGAGTGCAACCTATTTCAACATGTTACTGTGCCTACCCGTATATGTGTCGGACAACCCCCTATATTCTCGACCTTGTGCTTTCCCCGGCGCAATAAGATGTCGCAGATGTTACCACTCTTCCGCCTATTGGTAATAGTGATCACTGTATGGTTTCATTCCTCTGGACTCGACGCCTTACTCTTCACAACCAAGATAGTTTCCGCAGGAATTTCTGGCTTGCCGATCCAATCCGCCTGCAAGCGGACGCTAGCGGTGTGGACTGAAAATATCCCTCTATCCTCGGACCCAGATGGGGAGTGGAACCTTTTGTACTCCAAGCTGATTTCCCTTGTTGAGTAGGTTGTTCCTGTTTGCAAAAGCCGAAAGTTCACCAGAGGTCTTCCATGGATAGACCGAGAATTGAGGTGCTTAATGACCAAAAGACGTAAATTATGGGACCGATTCAAGCTTACTCACTACGCGCTTGACTATTCGGAGTACAAATTGATCAGAAACGACTGCATCATAAAAAACGTCAGAAACGGCATCAGTATGAACGCAGTTTGGCTATGCAATCCAGAACGACACCAAAGGCACCCTACTCCTGGTTGCAAAAAGTACCAAATCTGGCAGTGGCATTCCTGCCTTGTTTTCCGCAGAGCAGGGAGGTTTACTTGACGACGATGCGACGAAAGCCGGTTTATTGGCCCTGCAGTATTCATCTGTTTACACGATCGAGACGCCGCTACCTGATGACACTGCGCGAATCCACCCCTCTTCTTTGCAGCACATAGAAATGAGTGTGGATGACGTGGCCAAAGGCCTTTGTGAATTAGATCTGAACGCCTCGCCGGGTCCTGATGGACTGCACCCGCTGTTCCTGAAGACCGTGGCGGACTATATTGCTGCTCCTGTCTGTCAGATATTTCGCCACCCTCTGGAAGCTGGACGACTCCCGCTTGCTTGGAAATTGGGGACCGTTAAACCTATATACAAGGGAGGGGATCGTCAAGATCCTGCAAACTATCGACGTATCTGCCTAACGTCCGTACTGCGCAAGTTAATGGAAAGCATTCTCAAGCGCCCTGCAGCTTCACTTTGAGAATCTTAACATCATCTCCTGTGCCCAACATGGTTTTCGGCGGGAACGATCATGTACCTCGAACCTGCTTGTTGCTAGGAAAAACTGGGCGAGGTCGTTAGACGCTGGGAAACGACTGGATGTGGTTTTTGTAGACTTCAGCAAGGCGTTTGACAAAGCCCCCCATGAAAAGCCCCTTCTTAAACTGAGGTACCGGTGTCTCTTGGAATGTCCTTTCATAGATCGCTGATTTTTTGAATGGCCGGACCATGCGTGTCAAGGTGAATGAAGCCTACTCCACTCCTGTGCTAATGACTAGCGGTGTTCCGCAAGGGTCAGTACTTGGTCCAGAACTGTTCAAGATATTAATCAATGACCTCCCATCGGAGCTTCAGATGGATTGCCTGATTTACGCCGATGACATGAAGCTGTGGATAGAGGTAACCTGTCTTGAGGATGCTGACAGATTGCAGACATTATTGGACTTTCTACACGACTGGTCAGTCAACTGGCAATTGCCCATAAATTGTGAAAAATGCTCAGTTCTCCCCATAGGCGCCCTCGAACCGTTCGGGATATACCATATTGGTGGGGTGTTACTCAGAACCACCATTCTCAAAAAACATCTCGGTATGCTTGTCTCACATGATTTACGGACCGCAGAAGACACACTACGGAGGGTTGCCGCTGCCAACAGGATGTCCCATGCCATACGGAGAGCCTTCTCGCGACTGACTCCGGATATCTTCAAAACCCTGTTTACTTCTCATGTGCGCCCGATCCTTGAATACGGACTACCCGCCATCTGTCCTCTTACCAGGTTCGAGTGTAACATGATGGAGAAGGTACAGCGGCGTGCCTCGAAATCCATACTGGAGTTAAGGGACTTGCCTTACCCTCTTCGACTACAGCGGATGCACCTGTTCTCCCTGGAATATCGCCGACGTAGAGGTGATCTGATTTTTACTAGGCGAATTCTGATGGGGGAAATGGGGATGGAGCTACAAGCGTTCTTTCAAGTCAACACTAATAGTTCCACTCGGGGGCACAACTGGAAACTATATAAACCCAGAAGACTCAGAGTTCGCTCCACTCTCGCTCTATCAACCCGCATTGTCAATGACTGGAACGACTTGCCGAAACATGTGGTCGACGCGCAGTCGGAGGAATGTTTCAAGCGCTTTTTGGATTCTCACTTGATGAGTAAGCTGGGACCCTGCTTCTTCCAATGTAGCTGTTACGGCTCCTTATGGAATACCGTCTCGTAGCGACTCACGGCGTCCATGCAATGATCAGGAATTTTCTGCTACCACGCGCTGGATCCTTCTGCTCTCTACAATCCAATGATCCAATAGCTTTGGTAGTTGTAAAACAAAAGAAAAATAAATATAAACAAAAAACGAAGCCAACTACCACCCGACACACAACGCACACCACGTAAAATAACAAAAATGGGTTTAATATCTCAACCGGGCCAACACATATCCTAACACCCACAAAATAAAACCATATAAAAAAGAAAAAAGGAAAAGCAAAAAGGAACCCTAAACAGAACAATGAGTACAGCAAAAAAAAACAAAAAGTAAAACATGAAAACCACATAAGACAAGAAACTAAGAGCGAACCAAAACCCAAAGCACCAAAACCCCCCGTCCCTCCCCCCTCCCCACCCCCATCACCCCCTCCACCCACCCCACAGTCCTCCCCCCCCCCCTCCCCCCCCACCCCTGCTCCTCGTACTCGCAACCTACCCCCCCTCCGTCCCTTCCCTACCCCTTCTCTTCCCCACCCACCCACCCCCCACCCCCCCCCCCCCCCCCTCCCCCCACCTCCCCCCCCCCCCCCCACCACCTCCACTCCGCTCCCCCCCCCCACCACGCCCCCCCCACCCCGCCCCCCCCCCCCCCCTCCACCTCACAACCCCCCCATCTCACCCCCCCCTCCCCCCACGCCTCTCTCCCCGCCCCCCCCCCCCCACGAAATACCCTCCACCCCCCCCCAACCCACCCCCGTCCTACCCGCACCATCCCCCACTCGTCCCACGACCCCCACCCCCCCCACAACGCCCCCCCCCCCCCCTCCCCTCCGTCCCCCCCACTCTCCCCCCCCATCCCCTATCCTCCCCCCCCCCCCATGCCCCCCGCCTCCCCCACCCCCCCCCCCCCCCCTCCATCCCCCTAAACCCTCCCCCCATTTTTCCTTTCCCCCACCCAACCCTCCCACACCCCCTTCCCCCCCCGCCCCAATATACCCCCTCTACTACCCCCTTCCCCCTCCCCCATTACCCCCCCCCCCGACCCGTACCACTAGCCCAAAGTCACAAACACCCACAGACCACCACCACCACCCCCCCCCCCCCCCCCCCCCCCCCCCCCCCCCCCCCCCCCCCCCCCACCCCCCCCCCCCCCCCCCCACCCCCCCCACCCCCCCCCCCCCTCCCCCCCCCCCCCCCCCCCCCCCCCCCCCCCCCCACCCCCCCCCCCCCCTCCCCCCCCCCACCCTCCCCCCCCCACCCCCCCCCCCCCCCCCCCCCCCCCCCCCCCACCTCCCCCCCCCCCCCCACCCCCCCCCACCCCCCCCCCCCCCCCCCCCCCCCCCCCCCCCCCCCCCCCCCCCCCCCCCCCCCCCCCCCCCCCCCCTCCCCCCCCCCCCCCCCCCCCCCCCCCCCCCCCCCCCCCCCCCCTCCCCCCCCCCCCCCCCCCCCCCCCCCCCCCCCCCCCCCCCCCTCCCCCCCCCCCCCCCCCCCCCCCCCCCCCCCCCCCCCCCTCCCCCCCCTCCCCCCCCCCCCCCCCCCCCCCCCCCCCCCCCCCCCACCCCCCCCCCCCACCCCCCCCCCCCCCCCCCCCCAGCCGCCCCCCCCCCCCCCCCCCCCCCCCCCCCCCCCCCCCACCCCCCCCCCCCCCCCCCCCCCCCCCCCCCCCCCCCCCCCCCCTCCCCCCCCCCCCACCCCCCCCCCCCCCCCCCCCCCCGCCCCCCCACCCGCCCCCCTCCCCCCCCCCCCTCCCCCCCCCCCCCCCCCCCCCCCCCCCCCCCCCCCCCCCCCCCCCCCCCCCCCCCCCCCCCCCCCCCCCCCCCCCCCCCCCCCCACCCCCCCCCCCCCCCCCCCCCCCGCCCCCCCCCCCCCCCCCCCCCCCCCCCCCCCCCCTCCCCCCCCCCCCCCCCCCCCCCCCCCCCCCCCCCCCCCCCCCCCCCCCCCCCCCCCCCCCCCCCCCCCCCCCCCCCCCCCCCCCCCCCACCCCCCCCCCCCCCCCCCCCCCCCCCCCCCCCACCCCCCCCCCCCCCCCCCCCCCCCCCCCCCCCCCCCCCCCCCCCCCCCCCCCCCCCCCCCCCCCCCCCCCCCCCCCCCCCCCCCCCCCCCCCCCCCCCCCCCCCCCCCCCCCCCCCCCCCCCCCCCCCCCCCCCCCCCCCCCCCCCCCCCCCCCACCCCCCCCCCCCCCCCCCCCCCCCCCCCCCCCCCCCCCCCCCCCCCCCCCCCCCCCCCCCCCCCCCCCCCCCCCCCCCCCCCCCCCCCCCCCCCCCCCCCCCCCCCCCCCCCCCCCCCCCCCCCCCCCCCCCCCCCCCCCCCCCCCCCCCCCCCCCCCCCCCCCCCCCCCCCCCCCCCCCCCCCCCCCCCCCCCCCCCCCCCCCCCCCCCCCCCCCCCCCCCCCCCCCCCCCCCCCCCCCCCCCCCCCCACCCCCCCCCCCCCCCCCCCCCCCCACCCCCCCCCCCCCCCCCCCCCCCCCCCCCCCCCCCCCCCCCCCCCCCCCCCCCCCCCCCCCCCCCCCCCCCCCCCCACCCCCCCCCCCCCCCCCCCCCCCCCCCCCCCCCCCCCCCCCCCCCCCCCCCCCCCCCCCCCCCCCCCCCCCCCCCCCCCCCCCCCCCCCCCCCCCCCCCCCCCCCCCCCCCCCCCCCCCCCCCCCCCCCCCCCCCCCCCCCCCCCCCCCCCCCCCCCCCCCCCCCCCCCCCCCCCCCCCCCCCCCCCCCCCCCCCCCCCCCCCCCCCCCCCCCCCCCCCCCCCCCCCCCCCCCCCCCCCCCCCCCCCCCCCCCCCCCCCCCCCCCCCCCCCCCCCCCCCCCCCCCCCCCCCCCCCCCCCCCCCCCCCCCCCCCCCCCCCCCCCCCCCCCCCCCCCCCCCCCCCCCCCCCCCCCCCCCCCCCCCCCCCCCCCCCCCCCCCCCCCCCCCCCCCCCCCCCCCCCCCCCCCCCCCCCCCCCCCCCCCCACCCCCCCCCCCCCCCCCCCCCCCCCCCCCCCCCCCCCCCCCCCCCCCCCCCCCCCCCCCCCCCCCCCCCCCCCCCCCCCCCCCCCCCCCCCCCCCCCCCCCCCCCCCCCCCCCCCCCCCCCCCCCCCCCCCCCCCCCCCCCCCCCCCCCCCCCCCCCCCCCCCCCCCCCCCCCCCCCCCCCCCCCCCCCCCCCCCCCCCCCCCCCCCCCCCCCCCCCCCCCCCCCCCCCCCCCCCCCCCCCCCCCCCCCCCCCCCCCCCCCCCCCCCCCCCCCCCCCCCCCCCCCCCCCCCCCCCCCCCCCCCCCCCCCCCCCCCCCCCCCCCCCCCCCCCCCCCCCCCCCCCCCCCCCCCCCCCCCCCCCCCCCCCCCCCCCCCCCCCCCCCCCCCCCCCCCCCCCCCCCCCCCCCCCCCCCCCCCCCCCCCCCCCCCCCCCCCCCCCCCCCCCCCCCCCCCCCCCCCCCCCCCCCCCCCCCCCCCCCCCCCCCCCCCCCCCCCCCCCCCCCCCCCCCCCCCCCCCCCCCCCCCCCCCCCCCCCCCCCCCCCCCCCCCCCCCCCCCCCCCCCCCCCCCCCCCCCCCCCCCCCCCCCCCCCCCCCCCCCCCCCCCCCCCCCCCCCCCCCCCCCCCCCCCCCCCCCCCCCCCCCCCCCCCCCCCCCCCCCCCGCACCCCACTACGAACGTACACCCGCCCCCTCCCCACCACCCGCCCAACGTGGAGAACCCCCCCCCCACCACCTCCCCCCCCCCCCCACTACACCCCATCCCCCCACCACCCACCCCCCCAACCCCCTCCCCCCAACCTCCTACACCCCGCCCCACTACCCCACTAATCTCCACCCTACACCATCCCCCCCCCCGCCCGCGACCCCCCACTCCCCCCATCGACCCCCCCCCCCCCCACCCCCCCCCCCCCCGCACACCCTCTCCCCATCCCCCGCTCCCCCCCCCCTCCCCCCCCCCCCCGCCCCCCCACCCCCAGCCCCCCTATACCATACCTATAACTCCCCACCCCCCCCCCTCTCCCCCACCCCCCCCCCCCACCAACCACCCCCCCCCCCCCCCCCAAGCCCCCTCCCCCCCGCCCCCCCCACCACCCTCCCAACACCGCCCTCTCCCCACCCCCCACGCCACCGCCCCATCCCACACACCCCGCCCCCCCCCCCCCCCCCCCCCCCCCCCCCACCCCCCCCCCCCCCCCCCCCCCCCCCCCGCCACCACCCCCCCCAACGCCA